ACCGAGTCTGCGTGTTGTGAAAAGCTCGAGATTCATAGACCAAGCAGAGAGAGCCAACCGTGAATTTAGCAAAAAAGACTAACACGGAAACTCCGCGAAACAAATGATCGCTCTTGTTACAGATTATTCACAAATGCGGATAACTACTACTACGGAAAATCTACGATCGGATCTAATGATTTTACTGCTCCATTTCGTTACTCGTAATCTATTATAATATATTTATCATCGTTAAAATCTATTTGGTTATGTGTATACGTTAAACGTAATTTCTTTTTTCTTTTTTTCTTTTGTTAACGCAAAATTTTCTACGATAATAATTAATCCTGCATCTTCGTTACTTTCAAATCAACGAATCGGTAAATGAATCCAGATATACGCTTTCATAGTTAATCGTTGAATATTATATACAACGATGAAATATCAAAAGATTTACAAGCAAACGTATAAACAACGAAAATGATACGATTGATACTATAATAGAAAATGATCGAATTTACTGATCAATGGTTAATGAGCTCGCTCGTGCGAACGATTTCTCTCCTACCAGTTTTACTAATAATTCGACAAGTTAGAAGGAACTACTTTCCAAGGGTAGAAAGAGACCCTTTTTGCCGTTCGGTAAGCAAGTGTCCCTCGTAATGATGTTCCCGACGCGTGCCAGAGTCTCAGCATGGGGTACACATAACCCATGGTTAAAACCCCCAAGATCTAAGTCCGTCCAACTCGACCATTTACCACTCGATGACCGAAGGAACACGAACGAAACGAAGAAGGGCAACGCCTCGTGCACTTATTATGCGTCAAATAAGTCTCCAACGTTTTCTTCCACCCTCTACCACGAAATTAATTGGCTAGGCATCATCCCTATCATCGTGGGATTGTGGACAACTTATAAAGGGATATGTTGCTTACACTTTCGCGTAAATTTTCACACGAAATTTACAAACATTTGAGAGATTTATCCGTCATTATTATTATTATTATATCATTTATTTGACGTTTAATCAAATCAAACAAATAAAAATATCAATGAAAAATATTATTCTTTATACTAATCACACACATTTCTAGTCGCGTGACCGTAAAGAGAATTCACGATTCTCGCTATTTTATTCGCGCAACACAAAAGTTCAAAATCATAAATTCACGGCCGATTGCATGCGGAATGAATGATAACGCGATAAAACACAATAATGTATTTACATTCGACGTGTACATCTACAATCCATGTATTTATAAATCAAATACGTTTGAACGAGAACGTTTCGACGTGTAATATCGGATTACCAACGATAATCGGATTTCACAGGGCATCCATCGTTATTTCCGTCGTTGATGAAAACTCGAAAATATGATTTTCCATAGGTTACGCCTGACGACCTTTACCTTTTCCTCCAAACGATTCGAAAAAGGGGTGGTTCCTTTTTTTTACCTTAATACGAATCACAAGTCACAACTAAGAAGTAGAGGAAGAAGAAGAAGAAGAAGCAGGAAAAAAAGGGAAAGAAAGAAAGACAAGAAAAAAGAATAAGAAGATTAAAACAAAAAAAAGGGGGGGAAGGAAAAAGTCAAAGAAAAAGACTCGATATCTCATTATCGAACGATCGCAAACTAAACTCATCGCTGGAGAGTAAGTAACGAGATCTCCAATTATCTTCAGGGACAGTGTCTCGATCGTACTTATTTAGAAACATTACGGAAAAAGAAAGATAGGGAGCAGAATGAAAAAGAAGAAGAAGAAGAAGAAGAAGAAGAAGAAGATAAAGAAGATAAAGAAGAAAACGAAGAAGAAATCGGACGCGAGACTCGAAGAAAACGCTCAAATAACGAAGAACAATATGAAGTGAAAAAGGTGGAGAGAGAAAGGGAGGGGAAAAGGTGGTGGTAGTAGTAGTATTAGTAGTAAAGATATTTCCGTGATTAAAATAAAAACTCGTTGGGGTTTGGTTAGGTGATTTTTCAAGGGTCCTCATGAGTCCAGTTGATATACCTGGAGTATATACGCGATTCACTCGAAGGCATCATCGTTGATGCGTAATATACAACACGTACTTACCTACACAAACACCGTTGACGTTGGTTTAGGTAATATAACGTATAGTATTACTCGAAGACAGGTGGGAGTCAGTCATCATCTTGGTGTTCATCGACGTATCGGTGGTGATCTATAGTAACTCATACTAGGATTTCCTGTTAGTACCGATTGCCTCCCCTCCCCTTCCCTCCTCTCACCTCCTCTCCCCTCCTCATCCTCCTCTTTGCAAAAGCCTCTATCTTTCCTCTCTTTCTCACATCCCTTGCAAGCCGTCGGCAAGCCGTCTCGCGTCTGCTTTCCCCTTTTACCCTCACCTATCTCTCTCTCTCTCTCTCTCTCTCTCTCTCTTTATTCCCATTTCCATTCTCATCTTCTTGTTTTGGTCCAATAGTCAGTCGTCGGTCTGATCGATGATACGCCAACAGGCAGTACTGCGCATGGCCGACTAAATACAAACTCGCTCCTTATTATACACAGGGTGTGCCAATAAAGGGGGTGGCAAGAGCGAGAGGAAGAGAGAGAGAGATTGTGCGAGCGAGCGAGTGAGAAAGTAAGGCAGAGAGAGAAAGAGAGATAGAAAGTATGAGAGGGGAGGTCTAGGAAACGAAGGAGAAGGTGGAGAAAAGGTAAAGCCGTTCTCTCGTTCTCCTTCGAGTCGACGAACTTGCCGTCATAAAGGAAGCTCTTACTCGTTGACGTTGCAACTATCGTTACCATCCCTCTCTCTTTCCTCCCGATCTCTTCATCTCTTACTCACACTCCTTCCTTCTCATCCCCTTAACTCGTCTAAAATATTCTAGGACGTCAGAAGGATACACAATTTCCGATCAGGAAGGTTTCCTAACTAACTAACTTGAAAAACGATCGATCAATTTTCTAAAAATGACAAAGTTTCATAGTGTATGTGGTGTCTTTCTGTTCTCTTTGCCAATTAACAACAATTTACAACACGATTAGATCGAAAATACTTCGTTAGGTTTTTATCTATCCATTTTTTTTCTTACCTCTTTTTTTCTCTTTTTTTTTCTAAGGTAATATTTTCCATTTACCCTTTAACAGCGACGCTATGAATTTATTTCAAAATTTATATTGTTTATTTTATATACATACACATAAAACCGGGCGGATTAAGTTAAAATCGCTCGGAAATAGAAGCGAGAGAGAAATAGGACCGGTCCGATACGGTCCGGTCCCGGTCCCTGTGTGAAAGCAAACGTTCGATGACGTTAACGTTAACGTTGATAAATCGGCAAAAAAGCGACGGCTTGTTCGAATCTAAGCGGAAGATAATTTCGGGGTGGCAGGCCAAATTGACAGGGCAACGCGTTTCCATTCATTCGAATTACGTTCCGATTCTGGCGGTGACTTTAGTATTGTTGCTACAAATTGGTACACGCCCTGGCCCCCCTCCTACGTCCTCCCCTCTAGCAATGGCTTCCCTTTACCTCTTCTCGCTCCCTCACTCTCTCTCTCTCTCTCTCTCTCTCTCTCTCTCTCTCTCTCTCTCTCTCTCTTTCTTTCTCTATCCTTCTGCATGCACGATTTGTATACGTCGAGCTTTTTAAATAACATCCTCGGATATACAATTGTATACTCAAGAGACGAATGCGAGTGACGTTAACGTTCCTTTTCTAATCTCACTTTTAATCGACTCCAATAACTATCTATCTATCTATCCTTGTTTTTTGTTTTATTTTATCCGTTTGCCTATCTTTCGTTAACTAAGATTAAATAATAGGTTCATTTTTCTGTCTCTTGTCTTTTTTTTCTTTTTCTTCTTTTTCTTCTTTTTCTTATTGTTAGCTAACTACAATTATTATCAAAAATTATTCTCTCCCTACTCAGTCTTGTAACAAATTTGACATCGTTGGTAAGAAAAAGAAAGATCTGTTTCATTACTCCGAAAAAATAAGACGAATAAAAAGAAAGAAAGAAAGAAAGAAAGAAAATGGTACAGAAAAAGTAAAGTAAAAGTAGAAAAAAAAAGAAAAAGATTCGTGACATCGAAAAGAAAGAGAATTTTACGTAAGATACTACTTGGAGGAGAATCCTCAAGAAGCCGACGACTCGTACGATAATCGCACTTTATGTGGATTTAACGAGTGAGAATTCGGAGGAAAACACAGTCTTGCGTTTCTCTCGTGAAAACGAGTCACACTATCCTCTCCTCTCTCTCCTTCTCTCTCTCTCTCTCTCTCTCTCTCTCTCTCTCTCTCTCTCTCTCTATCCCTTTATCTCTCTAGTCTCGTTTCACGATTATTATCTACGTGGAATATTTACGCGCAATTAAGCAAATAACTCTTAAAAATTGGAGAAATGAAGATGAAGAAAATGAGAGAGAGAGAGAGAGAGAGAGAGAGAGAGAGAGAGAGAGAGAGAGAAAGAGAAAMAGAGAGAGGGGAGGGAAAGAAAGAGAGAGAGCTTTTAACGATCAGTCGTATTTAATCGAGCTCGCCAGACGGACTTTAACTTGAAAAAGACTAAAGATGATCTCGTTAAGATATATTACAATTTATCATTTATGATTAGACTCGAATAGATACTTATTTTAGATATTACATATATGTATGTATATATGTACCTATATAAATATATATGTACGAGTAAACGCGTGGAAATCGAGCTCGTTAAAATCGACTAGAGGAGAATATGGCACGTGTGTTCGCGGTAGGTGGTCGGATCATCCGGATCGTTAGCAAGTAGCCTAACTGGATCAAAAGAATGAAAAAATAGGATCGTGGCTAGAGGCCTTTTAAATATAATAGTTAACTGCGAAGAGGCATCCGTGTTGCATAAGAGTATGTATTTGTTAGTATGAGAAGTGATTAGATACTTTCAATGCTAGCGAATTATAATAATAATGATATATATGATAAAAGTATATATATATATACCAATTTCGAAATATTTTAAAAATGATTTCTTATTAATGTTAAAGGGATGTTTGAATTGTGTATTTCAGGTGTGGTTTCAAAATCGGAGAGCTAAATGGCGCAAAACTGAAAAATGCTGGGGTAGAAGTACCATAATGGCGGAGTATGGTCTATACGGTGCGATGGTTCGACATTCTTTACCACTTCCAGAAACTATTTTGAAGAGTGCTAAGGAGAACGAATCGGTGGCTCCATGGTTGCTTGGTGAGTATAGGATTCGATTTTTTATTTTTAATTAATATATATAAAACACGCATCCGATAGGGAATAAACAAAGTCCGTTATAAATAATTTCAATAGCTTGTTGATTTGTAACAACAAAAACAGACGAATAAAAAGAAACAAAAAAAGAAAGACGCAATCAAACGAAGCAAAAATGGAAAAGAAAAGTAATAAGGATAAAAAAAAGGAAATTATTATTTGTATTGATCGTACGACGAGAGTGGCAAAAAAAAATAGAGAAAAAAGAAACGTTCGTTTATAAGCAATTGGAGCAATCACGAAAAATGTCGAATTTTTTTTTTTCTGTCCGTTTCTATCAGCGCAATCGTCTAAGACAAGCGGCTTTAGTCAAGATTTCGAAAATAATCAAGAACTGATTGACTGTGGGCCCGTAGGGATGCACCGAAAGTCGATCGAAGCGGCGGAACATCTCAAGTCTGGTGGCGAGGACAGCGGAAACGACCATAACGGGAGCGGAAGTAGCCCTCATCATAATCATCACCAAGGTGGACCTACCAGTTCCGAGAGTGGACAAGAGAGCCAAGATGGTATGGGGCCGTCTTCTTCGACAGGCAAGTTTTATCTTCCTTTTTTTTATTTTTAACAATAATGATCGGTACGCGGTTCTTATTTTTGAATATTTCAATCGTCACTAATTTTTGTCTGATCAATTAACCGGATAAAAATAAAACCGTGCATTAGTAGTCAATTCGAACTCTACATTTTTCTTTACAACAACGTCAACTTCAATTACGTTTTTTGACGATTACATTTTTTCTTTTTACAAATCTGACCGCGCAATCTTTAAAGTATGATCAATTTACTACAAACAGTATTTATACTTTATATTAAAAGCCGAATATTGTCTAAGGGTTAAATTGATAATGCGTGTACTTAATTATTCGCTACGTAGTTATACACACGCTAACGGTTAATTGATAGATAATTAAAAGAACACAGAATTACTTAATAATTTTAAATTTAATTGTAGATCTTTTGTGGTTTCCTGTTTCTAGCCTATCAAAATAATTCTATCTAAATTAAATATTAAATCCTTGTCATTTTTGCATATTCGTTAATCCACTTGTATCTTTGTTATATTCGATTATATCGTATAGCAGTTAAAATTCTTTAAAAATTGTCTCGACTATTGTCAAATTTATAAAAAGAAAAAGAAAGAAGAATTAATAAAAGGAATAAAACAAAACCCCTCGATAAAATATGGCATTCTGTTCGTTTTCTTTAGGAGTCGTACAGGACACAGAACAACTGAGGAACGAGAGCATCGCCTGCTTGAGGGCGAAAGCTCAGCAACATCAATTGCAACTGAGCTTGCAACCAACGGCAGCTCCAACAGGCAGCTCTTATCAGACAGGACCGCAATCGAGCACACTCCATGCTTCGGTTTAATCATTCTCGTCAAAGTTTTTCATCTTGATTCTCGAAAAAAAAAGAAGGGGGAAGAAACATTGACGACGACTTTAGTCTGGACTATTCGCCTAATCGTCGAATAAAAGAACAAAAAAGGAAAAGGAAGAAGTAACAAGAAAATAATACTACATTTCTTCAATCTATATATATATATAACGAACGTAAGGAAATGACAAAAAAATAATAAGAGAGAGAGAGAGAGAGAAAGAAAAAAAAGTAAAATACGTTCGAAGAGGAAGATCGAGATCTCGTTATATGGATCGATCATTAAAATATATTTTCTAATCGATGAAGATATATTGATGATATTATGGTGACAAAAAACAATGAATCTCCCAAATTATCGACTGCTGACTCGTGAGGACGATCAGGGTAAACGAAGTGACATTTTAAATAAAAAATACAAAAAAGATACAAGAGAGAAACACAGGTAGAGAAAGAAATAAAAAAAGAAAAATATTAATTTACGTGAGCAACGAATAAATCGAACAAATATACATATATATATATATAGATATATATATATATATATATATATTTCGATATCCAACACGAATGAGATACCTCCTTTGGTATATGTATATATGTAATCCGATCAACGAAAATTTACCAAAAGAAAAGAAGAAAAAAACACAGGAAAAAGATAATAAAATAAAATTGACGGTCTCTATAATATACGTATGCGCAACGAAAAGAAATAAGGGAAATACAGAAACTTCATCAACGAAAAATCAGTGGCCTATCAATGGCCATCTTTAAATCGATACTTTAACAAAACGAAATCGATACGAAGAAATAAACTAATACCTAATTAAGAAATAATAGTCGCTTTTAAATAGTGTGAGAGTGAAATAAAACGACAGAGAAAGAAAAAGAAAGAAAGATATAGAAAAAGATAGAGAGAAATTAAAAAAGAAAAGAAAAAGAAAGAAAAGAAACGAACGAATAAACAATTAAACGAACAAATAAATAAATAAAATAATTAATTAATTAAACAAATACACGAGAAACGAAGACTTTTCGCCTTTTAACAAAAATAAAATAAAATAATATAAAATAAAAGAAAGAAAAAAAAGACATACTACGCAAAATGATTCGCAACGAAATGTTAAATAGGAACGACGTTAGGTACATCGAAATGAGTGAATGTGTAATTTGTATGAGAGATTGAAAGAGAGAAAAAGAAAGTGAGAGAGAGAGGAAAAAAAAATTTTGAATTATTTCAAAACAGAAAAAAAGAATGAGTGAAAGAGACGCACGTAAAAAAAAACGTTTATTAGCGAACACTTCCTATACCCAAGTACTTAAAGAAGACATAACTGTTGTCAAATGTGCAATATATCGATATAAGTTTTAGTTCTATAAGGTATATTATACTTTATTAATGGATACACCTACGCGCGTGGTGGTACGGGAGTAAACGGCGATTAACGATATATATGTATGTATATGTATGTGCGAAAGAAAGAGATTACGATGGTATGCAAAAAAATATGGATCATGTTTGATGATTTACAAATTTCATTTTTAATCGGATCTCTTAAAAAAGAAAAAGAAAAAGAAAATCATCATTATATATCGAAAACGTCATTACCTTTCTCCTTAATCCACTACTGTATATAAATATATATATAAATACAAAGGGTATATATATATACTATAAACATATATATATACATATATATATAAATACACACAAAAATAAATATATGTGGTTGAGAGGCAAGTATAGTAAAATGAGATAAAATAAAGTAAAGTAAAAAATAAAATAAGATAAGGTTAAATAAAGTAAAATAAAATAAAATAAAATAAAATAAAATAAAATAAAGTAAATTAAAGTAAAGTAAAGTAAAGTAAAGTAAAGTAAAGTAAAGTAAAGTAAAGTAAAGTAAAGTAAAGTAAAGTAAAATAAGGTAAAGTAAAGTAAAGTAAAGTCAAATGGCGAAGCTTATTTCTTTTCGCGATTTTTAATGCTCTCGCGTGAAAATAATAAATCACCATTCTCCATAGAACGCCATAAGTTCCTCTAATAAAATCTCTGTAAGATAGAATCGTGAAATATTCGATGTAATTTTTGATTTCATTCGGATCTATCGCGTTTCGTTCGTCTAATTTAAGAACCAATAAAATCGGTCATTTGTAACATCTTCTAACTCGTATAGACGAATTGTTAATATACGTAATACGTTTTATCGCGTATAAGGAAGTATATTTTCTAGAGGAACAAATTGGCGGAGAATCATTTACGATAAAATATACGTCAATGAACTTGTTAATAATAAAAGGAAAATAATGACGAAGACGACGACGATGACGACAACGACGATGATAACGACGAAGACAAAGACAACAAAGTAAAAATAAAAAAACAAGAAATAAAGGATTAACAAATAATAAAAAGGAAACAGAAAACAAAGTAAAATACGAGCAAAGCAAATGTTTAAATCGTGAAAGGAAACTCCGATGACACACAACGCAGGTCGGATCTAGAGATCGAGATCTTACTGTATCCGAATGCCCCAACGCATGCATAGTAGTCGGCTAGTGTACGTAATAAATAAAGTTTCTGAACAAAAAAAAAATGGATTCAATAATTTATCAAATTCTTCTTATGGGACCTTAAATACATCTTCTCTCCTCTAAACTTCCTTATTCTTTTTCTCGTATCTTTTCTTTTTCATTGGAAACAAATAAATATTATATATACAAATTAAAATATTGATATAATGTTACGTTTTATAGTGAAATCATTTTCAAAATCGTTATTAACTTAAATTCTTATCGAAACATCCAGATAAATTAAAAAACATCAATTTAATGGAAGAATTAGAAGGACATCCACTCTTGAACCCACCTCATGTGTCCCACTCTGAGGGTCCTGCCCAAATGTTCCTAGCGTATGAAGGATAAAGAAATAAATGAATAAATAAAAACTAACTGAAATATTATATATATATCTCAATGAATACAAAATATTTTTATTTTAATGATATTTAAAAAATATTCGTAGCTTGATTTCGTTATGATAGAAGCGAATATGCTAAAGTTATGTTAAAAACAGAAATAACTTATCATTAGTTTCTTACTTTATTCTTAAGGAAGTTTTATCATGAGATTAATTATAAAAGTAATTATAAGAAGGATTCTCCTGATTATTTCATATCGTATCGTTTCTTTTCAGATGGCTCCACTTGCTGAAATGGACAATGGTCCTTTATTATTCTATGCCTTTTTTTCTATAGTGACGACATCTGGAAAAATGATGTTACCGACCAGAGTTTAAAAAATGTAGATAAAATCTGCATTATCAACGTAATTATGAGGAGTTGAAACGTCGGTAAGTTAGATGTCGGTAAGTTAAATGTCGGTAAGTTAAATGTCGGTAAATTGAATGTCGGTAAGTTAAATGACGGTAAATTGAACATCGATAAAGCAATACACTGTAGCTTTCCCAAATTATATAATTATAATAAAAATTAGAACCTTTTTTTTTCCTCCTCGACAAGAGGGATTTAAAATTCTTTTGCTCACTCGTTACCAACTGTTATATTACATGTATGTGACATTTTAAAATTAAAACAACGCATATATGAAACATGAACAGTAGCATTAAACGTTTTGCGATGATCACAGAAAAGCTGGCATAGAACCTCAACAGCGACAAAAAATGAATAAATACTCTTAATTGCACATTATTTGCACATTTAAGATCAATAGATGCACATTTTATTAATTAATTATTTAATTAGTAAGTAATTAACAATATAAATACATAATATATAACAATATTCTGTGATAGTGTATATAGTATATTTATATTGTCAGAAAATTTAAAATAATTATATTTAATTTTAAGTGTCTAAATACGTGTGTACCTTCAGAAATGCGTTTTTTATACATATATATTTTAAAAAGTAGAATAAAATCAAAACGAATACATGATAAATCCAACGATGATCACCTGTAACAAAAAGAAAACTAAATTAATCATACAATCAAGTGATACAATAGCCTAACATACAAATCGTCCAAATCGTAGATGCACTTTTCGAATGAATTTTTAATTTATTTTTATTAAATCTCTATTTACCGTTGTAATGAAATTAAATTTATCGCGTGATTTTACATTTACATAAAATATATAAAAATAAAGAAATAAAAAAAGTACAAATATTAGGTTACTACAAAAAATAATATCTATTAATTATTATGAAATACTTTAAAGCTGCATTACATAGGAAAGAAAAATTGCAAATTTAATAAAATACGATCAAAATGAAAAATTTTAAAGACGAAACAAGACAAGATAAATTACTGTAATATTTACCGAACGTTATTTAAGCTTCAAAATTGAATAATACAAAAATTGTAATATTTCTGACTCTAACTAAATACATATGCATCTTTTGAACGATATGGACACGAATTTGGTGTCCCAAGGAGATGGAATGGTCCATCATCTCCAATTACAACTACAAATTAATGACGAGCAAAAAAGTAATATAATAAAATATAAAATATGACTAGAGAGCTATTCCCGAAAAGTTCGAACCTGCTGTTGAACTTTTGAAAATAACTCAATAGCCTCAATAGTAGTTGCCCTCTTCAGCCACATTTAAGTGGGGGCCTCTTCGGCATAATGCCTCTTCTTTCTTCATGCCCTAAATGCTGCGGTGAGGCTTTTTCTTAACATTTACTCGAATGCCTCAACAGATATTTGATCTAATCGATGAACCTATTATTAACACTTTGCATTAAAAAGGTAAAATAATATCAAACAAAAGCAGGAACTTTTTCATACATCATATGGTCTTACTTTTTTACTCGACCACTTTCATCTTTTATCTTTACTCTACTTTGTATTTACTATACATATATAGCAAATGAAGTATTCAGTAGGAATTACTAAAGAGCAAAGCGTTAATATACTTAATATTAATTAAGTATCCAACTTATTCAATTATCTTCACTTTTTCGAAAAAAAAATTAATTTTTAAGAAAACGCAAAGACTTTTGAATCGTTCGATACTGATTTATATCTCGCGGTACAGAGTATCAGCAATATATGAAAAAAATAAAAGAAATATTTAAATGACAAATGAATCTAAAGGTTGCTGAAACTTTGTATAATATTCGGAGAAGAAATTTTCCACTCTTGAGTGGAAATTACAATCGCGCGACWTCTCCGGTCTCTACCTACTTACAAATAAAATAAACATTCACACCTAAGTATGCTACCTGCCCGCCAATTACCCGTATTTAAAACGATCAAACATACATACATACCCACCCACTCACTCCACGATTCTCWCACATACCACCAGGGTGCAAAAGCCTAAACTAGAGAGCATGCCCCGGGGCACCTCCGACACCCTAGTTCAAACGCGTGTTTTCTAGATTTATGGGAGTACGTACCAATGCTGTAATCGTCTGCTAAGGCTAATGATTATTGCATAAATGACTAATGCAAAAATACAAGTATAAACTAGTATATATGCATACTAGTTATATACGAGTATATTATAGTTTCCACAAATAAATGCGATAAACTCTACTATGCAAAACGATTGTTAAAAAAAAAAAAAAAAGTTCGTATCGTACGCGTGACTCTACAAGTTATTTTTATTCAATAACTTTAAAAAATAATAAGTAAATATAATAATATAAAAAAATATAATAATAATATAATTTTACGTATCGCGAAACGATGTACAATGCACATACCTAGCGCACACACAAGTGCAATGTACACCGTGCAATCACTAGCACAATGACAGCCGCYAATAGGGGGAAAAACTTAAAACTAAACCTATACTAACCGTTTCTCACCCATACG